AACCAACAACTTCATTGGTGTCTGATTTGCAAATAAAAATAAAAATTCAGAATCAACTGCAAAATGCTCCTATTTTGCTCTGAACAGATGAAAACAGTGCTTTTCATCCTAATTGTTACAGTTATTCCATCTTTCAATGCAGTGGTGTCATTAAAAGTTCAAAATTCATTGTTTAAATTTTGAACCAGCCTGGTGTGTTCACTTCATGGCTCTTATCGTACCATTTTGGGCCATAATAGGATGCCTAGGCCTGTTTTTATTTTTATTTCGCCCCCCCGCTCCATTATTTTTGTAGAAAAATCCGTTAACCAAGAAATTAATTTGGTGTGGCCCAAGTAATTGAAAATAATGTAACAACTTGCATCAACAGATTACTAGTATGTCAATCTGCCCAAACATGCACATACCTATTGTGCAGGTTTCAAAGGTTATGAATCCAGGGTAAAACTGTGTCCTTCATTATGCCTATGAAGGACATATAGTTTTACCCTGTTGGCCAAGTGCAAGATGTAAGTTCACAACTGATTTGTGATGTAAGTACTCCCAGGAAGTACATGCCAGTGAGTGTACATGTACATGCATGTATTTCCAAATATCTCTTTCCCGCCCCGACATGTACATTTGCCAATGTGGAATTCTTTGCCTAGTTCTGTTGTTTTTACTAGCTCAGTGGTAGCATTTAGAATTTAGAACTACTGTACAGAACCTGGGTTGCTTGAGGGAATTTCAGAACAAGAGGAAGTCCTGCAGCCCATGGGACTAGACAGAAAATAGGAGTGCCATAAACAAGATGAGGCTTGTTTCACCATTGAAGGATAAAAATTACATGTGATTTTACCTCCATGGTTTCACAGGTCAGAACATCCACAACATGTTGTATGATGGCACTTGGTGCTAGATTTGGTGGAAAACATGAAATTGTGTCATCTCAACTTTTTCCAAACAAAGGCAAGCTGCCATGCTTCTGGATCAAAAGAAAAAGGGAATGTGTGTGTGAACCCTGACAATAATACACACTGTAGAGCTATCAGTCCTTGTATTTGATAAACCCATTCCATGGCTACATGTGTATGCCACTGATTCACATTTGATGAGTCCATGGCATGGAAAGGGGGGTTAAACAGTGCCCATATTAATTAACAATGTATGCAGGTTCAGATCCCACAGCTGTAGGCATAATAATGGATGGCAGGATGCACTGGATGACAGCATTGAGGTATAAAGAACCTTCTTGATGACTGGAGTAGTCACTTCAAGAATTTTTAGCTTTTAGAGTTCAATTACCTCCATGTATGTGGAAGTACCTCAAGATGCCTAGATGTTTACAGGTACTGGAGGACAAAATGCCAGCAATAAATACATTTATTGCTGCACTCTGCACTCCATGAGCTAACAGCAAATGGTGCTAAAACATTATGAATATTCAAAAGACAACACGCAACGGTGAATCGCTTTCTTTCATCAAACACCATGTTACTCTCCATAACTTGTCTGGACAAGAATAGTGAAATTCATCATTTCAGGAGTGACTAACCCAAGTGTTATTTATCCTGGGCCATACAACCTCACCTGGGCCCCAGTGGAAGTCTTTATGGTAGTCCTATCTTATCTATGTGTACAAGACAGAGGGCACATACATGTACATGTGACTTGCACAAAAGGGCATGTAGAAGGCATAAGTGCATGTGAGGGGGTTGTTTATTTGTAATAGATGTTTATAACCATGCATTTTGAGGAAATGCAGACTGTATTTGTTTACTTAAACCCCTTCAAAACCTGGACTGACTGGCCCCAAGGACATCCTTGTGAAGATGCAACTAATTACAGTATCCTTCTGAAATACACAGGCTGATATGATTTATGATTGCAGGAAATTTACAGACCCATTTACCATGTTCACTAGCTGACGTCATGGGCAGTCTCTAGAACCTCACCTTACACTGTAAGTTACAATAGGCACTGTCTGAGGATATTACAATGGTGGAAAAACAGTCTTCACTTAGCAAGATGGGTCAAATACACATCAACAAGGATCTACCAAAGGCATATTTTGATAGGTACAATCAATAGGTCAACAATCTCGAGTATGTACACACCTAGATCACAGATGTTGCTTTTTCTAACTGACTGTATAAGAGATTCAAATCCTCATTTTAGTGCATTAGTTAAAATTCATATATACATTTTACCATTCTATACACATAGCAGTTAATGGGTGGTATTACATGCACTTATTTCTAAGACTACGGCAGTCATATGATTTGACAGATATGCTGTACATGTACGTAACATTTTTGCAGGGGTAACATCAACATATTCCTTCAATCATTTTTAGGAAGCACAGGGATAGAATAAAAATAAACAGACTTGTTATCCGACATGATTGACAGATGCACAGTTGTTGTATAAGGTAGCAGAATACAGTATCTGGGTATTATATGTATATGACATTTTTTGAAATGTTTTGTGATAAATAGAATTTACCACTGAAGCCATTTTCCCCAGATTTCCACAACTCCCCAACCCATCCCTCTAGGGCTGTCTCTGATTGACTTGTTTTTATCCCAGCCAGACAATGTAGGTCTTGCTTATAGTGAGCTGCATCAGTGCTGCCTCCCACTGGTCCCACTTTCATTCTGAAGAAAATGATGGTACAATTCATGACAATCCGGTGTTGCCAGGCAGTTCAAACTGTCTCCAAAAAATGCTGAACCTCACAGATGTTGTGTCACTAAAAAAAAGAAGAAGAAAATGCTGCCTGTTGGTTAACAGTAGTGTCTGAACTTTGACCGTAGCTTGTGCGAATCAAAATTTTATTAAGCAAACCATCTCTCGGGGGCAAGGCAATTACCACTAGGTGTTAGAGAAATTGGAGAAAATGAAGCAGTGACCAGGTCTTGGGCCACAAATGTAGTTTAATTCTCCAGGATAATAGGAATGAGGTCCCAGTCATTATAGAAATTTGCAAGCACCTGGAGTGCCCTGAAGAAATGCTGAATCAATGGCTTCAGATAGAGGTCAACCTTGCCAGGTATGGTGGGCAAGGGTACTTTTGATCACGAAAAGTTTCTCTGTGGTTTTATTTTGTGATGCATCTGTATAGTCTAACTAATTGCACACTTAGGTTATAGGTCATGGCTGTTACAACCACCTTTCCACAGAATTGTTTCAAGTGCAAATTTCAGAATTGTTTCAACTGCAAATTTAAAACACCTCCCTTACCCTCCTACCACGAAATAACACCACTTTTTGTCTGTAATTTGATTTGTTGTAAAGTAGCACCCTCCTGGAACAAGACACAACCCTGTGTTTGTCTCCCCTGCTATTTCATCTAGAGCAGTGTTGTTATGTGGGGCAATTGAGAAGAAAGTCCATCTTGCATACTAATAGATAAGAAGGAGTGGAGGGACACAGGAGATGCCAATATGAGTTGTAAATTGTGAAACTTTCATGGTTTTATTTTTGCAAAGACCTCGCCACTGCAATTGAAATACATGTCTTCCTTGCATGACTACTGTACTAATTGTTTCAACCACCATAGTATCATAAACCACCATAGTATCATAAACCACATTTTTCCCTCCTACTGTGAAATAAGAGTACAGTAGTACCTGCCTGGCTTCATATAAATGCATAGGCCACACCTATTTGATTTGTTGGTTCTTGGATTTTTCAGAAAAAATATGAATCGACAGGGCAAAATAGCATTTTGGAGTTGATTCAGAGACTGAATTTTTTTTCAAAATCAGACAAAAATGGAGCGGGCAAATCCGTGA